ATTCATGATTCCATCCCTTCATTAATGCTTGATGGAGAAGGGGAGACTGAAAAATAGCTCCTGTACAATATGCAATTGCATTTACTTACTAATCTACTGTTTAGTTACTCTTCAATTTTGACAAGAATCTACTACATGTCCATAAAGGAATATCGAGAAATATGATGATAAGAATCTACTATTATGTCAAGAACTTATAAGACATGCATTCTAGCTGTTTTCCAGAATTTATAGCGAAGGAAGGTGTAACGACTTCATAATGCATGCACTTGATTCACTCTTTATAATAATGAAAGAGAGAGGTCTTTGCTTCATAATTTTTTGAGAAAGTTTTTTTTTACAAATCAAGTGAAGTAGTTAGCAAGGTAAGCTTGATAGACACTTGGAAGTATGGTTTTGCAGATCAGATTACTTTTTGTTTAGCATCTCAGACAAATTTCCGTCCATTCTTCATCTGTTTGTTTGTTGGGTTAGGGCTTCTTGATCTGCCTCAGTCAATCCCTTGACAAAATTTTTTCCTTCTTCATTCATGAGTTCAATTTCGCCAGTTTGTAATTATATGAAAATTTCCTTTAATTCAATCAGACGAAATTTTCCCAATTACATGAATTGTGAGCAAACATTTAAATTGGGGTTTATATCTTTAAAAGTCTCTTCTTCTTGCATCTTCTCACTTTCAAGGTTATAATTGTGATCTTCACCAAGGTAAAGTTATTCCTTCCCTTCCATTAGTATTTTTTGCAAGTAATCAATTGATTCTACTTTTTAAATTTCCACAGCATTTAGTTTCTCATTAAACAATATGGTGTACGGTGAGGTCACTTATTCATGAATTGACTTTGTTCTTTATAGTTCAAATATGGAAAAAAATTATACGTAGTACTCTATGTCATGTTAGAAAGTATAATCTGTGTTCAAACTTTGTTCTGTTATAATCATACTATTACCAGATTTAAAAAACTCAGATTAAACATGATGAACTATGATCAACTTTGTTCTATTGTAATCTGTCTTTTCTTGATTTTATTTTATGATGAACAATATGACATTAAAAATGTGATAACGGTTCTTCTCACTTAAGGATTTGACTTTGAGGACTTTCCTTTAAAAGTGAATGGTCAAGCCTTCTCTGTTCCTATTATTTTTTTTATTAGTTTCTTTTAGATTTAATTTCAATCGTTTTTTGTAATCGATTTATTAATTTCTTTTTAATCAATTTTCATAGAATCTCAAATACTTGATGATCTTATCTAAAATTTCTTCCTACCATAATAGTGGTAATATCAAAGTTTTTTTTACTACTGAGTTTTGAAATTTTACAGCACCTAAAATTTAATTTATAGTCATCAAAACATTCTTTATTTGTTGATTTGAGTCATATTCTAACTTTTACTTTAAAAATATTATTTGTTTTCTTTTTATATGAAATAATTACATATTTGTGAACAAATTGAAGATTGTTTACAAAAGCTGATCTCTTAAGCATAGTGACTATAGTAATAACCAATGTAGTCATAAGTGTGCGCCTCGGCACTGAAGCGCACTAGGCGAGGTGCTATAGAGGTGCAATGCCTTATAATCTTCGAGGCAAGCTGTCTGAGTGAGGCACAATATATATAATCGCAAGAAGTAAGTGCACACCTGATTCGCCTGAAGGCCGGGTTCTGAAATCTGAAGTTATTTAAAAAAACTTGGGCCTATTTAAATAAACCCATATCAATAATAAAATTTACCCATCCAACTAATAGGGGAGTAACAACTTGAACCCTGCTAAAACCCTTTTCAGTCAGTGTATTAAGGGGTCTATGGAAACTTAGAAGGCTTTCAACCATTGCATTCTTATTTCCTGTGTTCTACCCATACCCTCCATGATATGCACAAGGTAAAGTTCTCCTATTTTTTTCTCATTTTTTATGGTGTTTTTAATTTCTTCTTTTCTTACTTTTTTGTTTTCTTCTCTTTTGAATGTGAAATCTATATCTTCTTTCTTTATTTTTATCTCATAATTGAAAAGTCTATATATTTATCTTTTTCCTTTCTTTTATCTGTCATTTTCTTCTTCTGTTTTATACTTTATCTCCTAACAACTAACAAGTTTCTTCTTTGTTTCTTTTTCTGAATCTTTTTATATTTTAAAATTATTACTATGCTATATATTTTATTGCATATAGATGGTGTGCCGGCATGAGTCAGTAACTTTTTTGCACCTTGAGCCTCACGACTTTGACTACCTTGATAGTAACTTTAGTCATAGTAACTTATATTTAATTTTTACACATAGTGACCGTGACATTATACTATAGTAACTTTTAGTCATATTTCTGTAAATAAATTTTATTTCGGTAAATCATTTGTAAAAAAATCTTTTTATATTCTAATTTGCTCTAACTATTATTAGTACCCGAGTGCACACTAACTATTATTTATGTATGCTCTATCGGTATTGTACCATTTTTTTGATAAAGTTTTTAACATTCTTTATATGATCGAGGTTAGCTCACTCAAATTGACCTTTCTTACATGTTCACTTCATCCTAGCTATGTTTTTGGATCAGGGGATAAAAACATTTTGCCAGTGATTGTGAAGATGGCAGAGTCGTGTTTGGCTAAGGTTTGGACGCCACTCTTCTATTTCATTTATAATCAATCCATGCTTAATTTCTCTAATGAAAAACCTCTTTCTTATCTCTGGACTTATCCATGTAGTTGGTTATATCGTGAATGCTACATGCTATTCATTTTGTTCATTTTGCTTTCCTTCAGTTCTTTTGATACTATTTCTAATTGATTGCTGGTAACAGAGGTTCACCTGTCTCCAGTTCCATTTTTTTGCACTACGTTTTTCTTCTCCAGTCCACCATTCTTTGATGCTTTTAGTGTGTCATTATTGGTTTTCAGGAGTTGACCTAATCAGCCAAGGGTGGAATATGAGGGCCTCGAGCGTGTTAAAGAAGGTTATGGCACTGCATCCGTTTTGTCTAAACAAGGACTATATTAAGCAGCAACATTATACCGTCCTCTTTAGCTCTTTGAAGTTATTTGCAAAGATCTTTTCTATTTTTTATAACAAGTCATTAGTTGGTTGGAGAGGTAAACATGACAAGGGGCTTTTAAATTTTGTGGTTGTGATTTGAGGGCATTCAAATTTCATTTCCTTATGAGATATAGTTTTCCTAAATGTTAGATATTTCTTTCACAAATGTATTATCAGTACGTGCTTTGGAGGTGTTTTTCATTATACTAATTTGTGAATGGCTATTGTATTTTATCAATGTTTGGACACTTGATCTGACAAGACCAATATCATAGCAATGTTGAGGCTATAATAAGATGCATAAATTGAAAAACAAGATAGCTTAGAGTAGGGGTGGGCCCGGTCCACGGTCCCGGAGTAGTCAAGTCAGAAAAGACCGATTCCCGGGACGAGACCCGACTTGTTATTTCTGGTTTGAATCTAAGACTGGAATCGGACTAGTCCCCAGTGGCACTGCTACTATTTAGTACGTTTTGAGACAGATTCGACTTTTTTATCTTTGCATTTAATGGTTAAACCCATTTTTGAAGAGGTATAAAATCCATTTAAAAGCTAAAAAATGGTAGGGGGGAGGGTTAAGATGGTTTAAAACATAAGAGAAAAGTAAGAATAAGACAAAAATTCTACTGCTGTAATCCTACCTATATGCAAGTGCCAAGTTTGTAAGAATTTAAATTGGCTGAATAATTGTCTAAATTGGCATGATAAGGTTGAATTTGCAAGAAAGACTTCAATAATTTGTGATGTGTAATGTTACTAAATTTTAATATTTATTTTTATTTATTTAAAATGTTTCTCATTCATGCGATAAAAAATAATGTCCTATAACTATATTTATATAATACTCCGTAACATTTATAATGTAAACATATTACACCCCGTGCAACGCACGGGTGGAATACTAGTTATTTACTTAAAAGGAAAAATGGTAAAATTAGTGGGACAACTACAAAAAGAAAATTTGGCAAAATTATTGTTTCTGTCGGCACCACCCCTATTTCCAGAGTTCCCTTGTTTTGGAGATGAGTTTGTTAAACATGCCATGTAGCCTGAGGTAAGTAACTACAATTACGCAATGGAAAAATATCCTCCAATGTAAAGTTTGTTTGACAAATTGTGTCGCAATTGTGATTGCAATATCTACAAAACAATAATGAAGATTTTATGAAATTTATTCTCCATAATCATGTGTAATATTTAAATATAAACAATGTTTTTATGATGAAAACAAACATATATCCTAATCCTGATCCAAACAAACATATATCAATATCATATGAAAGTAGGGTGAGAAATCGTCCACACGGAGCTAGAGACCGAACTAGAGAAGATATGCCCAAAGCATACCAAATTTTCGTTTATGCACAATTTTCATGAATCCCAGGTAAACGACTAACAATAATTAAGGGCCTGTTTGGAAATAGCTGGGCTGGCGGGAAGGGCTGAAAAGTCTGAAAAGACTAAATCTGCTGAAGTGAAAGTGTTTGCTAGTATGCTGGCTGAAATAGCTGATTGAATGTAAAATTACCATTAAGAGTATTTGCTTATTTGTGTTGAATATATGGTGTGCACTTTAGTAGTAAACTGTTTTTGCTTGATTAGGTAATAACGGAGTATAAGACTACTTAATTAATTGATTACTTTGGAAATTTCATTTGAACTCTTATGTCGAATTTAATATTATTTTATACAACTACTTTTCAAATATTGCGTATTTTCGAATGAGCGACACTAGTATTATTTTCGACACTAGTATTATTTTTTGTGACATTTATGAGTAAATTAATTTTAAAAAATATACTTTCTATGAAATATATTAACAAGCTCACATGCATTTAAATTAGAATGAAATGAAACATAAAATACACATAACTATTCATTCGAGTTCATTCAAAAATGAAATGAAACATAAAATACACAAAAAGTACTAATGTTATTACACGGAAAATTATAATGTCCGAAAATACCTTAAGCAAATAAAATACATAATGGAACACATGCAATCATCATACATTATCAACGACGTTGCCTCATGTTGCGAGTCAAATTTTCTGTAACTTCATCTCGCAATGCAATGATACGTTGAGAACTTACACCGTGGACCTCATTTGAACACCTTTCGGTGGGTTCTTGTGTTGGTGGGGTGATGCGATCTTCCGGAACAAAAACAAGGTTTGTCTCAAAACAAAGAAAAGCGGGATCGTCATTAGAATATTGCCGAATGAAATTATGTAGTGCCATAGTAGCTAAGATTATTTTGACCTGCACCTTAAAAGGATAAGAAAGCATGGATCTAAGGATACACTATGATAAACATGTAATTTCCATGTTTATGTTTGTATTTTTAATTAGTTTTGATTGATTATTACTTTGAAATTTACACACTTTTGGTGTAATAGTTTAGTTTGTAAAAATGTTTGTAATTTGTTTAGATTAGATTCATTCTGAGCTCAAACGGGTCCATAATCACTCAAGGGACCATTGGTGTACCCCAAAAGTTGAAGGAAGGTGCAAAATCACAAGACAAATTCACGGATCCTGATTTTTGGTCTATACCCGATCGGGTATGACCTATACCCGATCGGATATCTTGTTGAAATTTCAAACCGGATCGGATCCGAGACAAGGCAATGTGCAAGAGGATTTTTAGCCATGTTCGAATGTCCATACCCGATCGGGTGACCGACATACCCGGTCGGGTATGCCCCACTTTTGCAGTTTCCGGGAAGCCTCTGAAGGTACCCGATCGGACACCCTATATGCCCGATCGGGTACACACCCCTGCATGCTCCAAAAACCTATAAATACCCCCCTTTCCTTCCCAAAGAAAACCACCAATTCACATATACTTCTAAGCTCAGTCTAGATAAGTTCTTTCTTTATATTTTCATCATGTTTAGTCTCCAAATGAGGAGCTAAACTCTTCCATCTTGGTTTTGCTACTTTGAAGCTTAATGAATTTGTAAGTTGTGAGTTATTCTCTTTAATTTTCTTCCTTGAATATTAGTTCTTCCTTTAAATACTATTTCTATATCAATGTTGGGGAGTGTTACTAAGATGACAATTAGTTAACATCTTGACATTAGTTATAGTAATAGTTATTTCTTCCTCTATGTTAATATTGGGGAGTGTTACTAAGATGACAATTAGTTAACATCTTGATATTAACTATAGTAGGATTCATCTTCTTTAATATTCTTCCTTGAGTATTAATTAATTCATATTCATATTTCATATTAATATTTTGAACATTACTTAAAGGATCAACTAGTTTTGTTTCATGTATTAATTATTACTAGAATCGATCGACGAATACGCTTGTTAGCCGTTCGATCGTTTCACGGTAGTAAACTTGGGTTATTAATGCATGCGTTTCATGGTTAATAAACCAAGGGGAATTAATTATGTTGATTAAACCAATAAACCGCTTGTGTTGAGGTTATCAATCTCAATCGTTTTCATCTTGATTTTATTGCTACTATCGGGTTAATATATGACACGTGTTCTATATTAACTCGGTAGTAAGTTTTATTAATGAACGCGTCTCGTTATTATTAAATACCCTCGATGAACTGGATATACTCTTCGATTGAGTATTCGAGAGGAAGATAGTTAAAGATATAACCGGGATCGACGAACATTTCATTAAGTGGATAAAAGCAAAACCAAGTCTTCATCTCTATTAAAGTAAACCACATAAGTCGTTCATCTTAGTGTTAATTAATTAAAATCAAACACAACTGAAATCCCCCCTTTTGTTACTAGTTACAATATAAAAGAAAAATATTCCTTTCCCTGTGGATACGAACCTTACTTCAATATACTACGTATATTTGTTGTATTGATTATAATTTTGAGTGCACACCACGACAAAGTGCACGTCAACCACCTTGCCTTCCGAACACCAAATGTTCGCAACTATGCAACGATGAATGCTTCTTGTTGAAGAACTCTTTTCCCGAGTTTGGCCTCTCTCCATTGAATGAAGTTGGATGGATGGTATCTAGTATTGCGGTGTGGCGGCAGAAAACCTTCTTGAATAGAGTACCCCGCATCTACCAAATACTCCCTCCGTCCCATATTTATATTCGTAGTTCGGTTTACGATGCTTGACTGACGATAAAGCAATTTGATCCATGTTCACACTCAGATTATTTTTAGTAAACTAAATTTACATATTCAGAAACTACATTAAACCCGCTACAAAGGCTGATCAAGAAAATTTAAGTTTGATAAAAATTTGATATATAAAGTAAAAGTTTAAGAGTAATTTGAGTTGACCGTGTGAATAGTAACTATGAAGATAATTTTGGGACGGAGGGAGTACTATTTACCTAATTAAATAAAAACTGAATAATTAGCCCTACTAAAAAGTTGTGTCATGACACACACAAATTTAAAACATACCAGGTGGGGGATAGGGAAATCCCAAGTTAGGATTCTCTAGCGTCTCTCATATTCTAGCATCATGAGTCGATCCTTCCCAAGCTAGTTTTTTATTTCTTTTCCATGGGAATCTTGGAAGGTTGTTGGTATCAAAGGGTAGTATAAAGCCTTATGTGATCTTTTAGCTTGTCCTGACCCAAGAGTATGTTGTGACGGTCTGCTTGGAAGGACTTGAGAACATTTTAAAGATGGATTTACAATTCTTATATAAAAGCTTTAGCAACCTATAATAATGAATCACCAAGTACACATAAATTTGAATGAAAAATTCTCAGACCGTGCATCGCACGGGTGAGTTTACTAGTGATCTACAAATGTATTTAGAACCCCCCTCCCACTTACAAGTCATTATTAACCTTTTTGTGAAATTTCATGTTAACACCATAAATCCATAATGAAAGGAAAGTGAATACACCATGGATTGCAATTAAATTGATAAAGCAGAAAATGATGCTACTCAAGATTCCTTGAACATAAATATAGTGTTGAAGCTTCAGTGTACATATTGATAATCATCCCTCTGACCCTCTGTCCATCCTTCCCTCCTCTCTAAAAAAGAAAACTAAAGATGTGAAGGGAGTTGTTTCCAAATAAGAAAAAAAAATAAATTACCCCCATTGCCACAAAATCTATCATTTAGTGTGCTAAAGAGGCACATTTGATAAGGTTAATGGAGCTATCAATTTAAAACTAATCGAGTTAATGAAGTTATCAAATTAAAAATCTATCAGGAGTTATCAAATTGCTATGTATTCTTTTTTTGATAAATAGATAAAACATTACTTTTTCTACCGTGCTAATTTCAAATGTAGTTACAACACCTCCATGCTAATTTCACTCAAAATTCGGTAACTCACACACCCATGGTCTTTGTTAATTGGGGAAAAAAATCTCCAAGGAGGACTTTTACAATAACAAATTCCTGTAGATTTAAAGATGATATGTTTCACATCTAAGAAGTCAATGAGCCAGCTATTTTTAGTTTGAAGAGATAGGACTCTAACAAACCATATAAACAAATACAGTTATGAAAATAGATAGGTGTTCTGCTCATACTTTTCTTCATTTTACGTTTTATGAAATTATGTAGCAAAGGTTAGAAAAACATCAAAAAATTGAAAAAGAATTCAAGAAGAGGAAGAGCGCACATTACAATCGAAGAAGAGCGCACAATTCAACTCTATCGTGGATGGGTCTGCGAACAATTGAAGAAGAAGAAGAAGAGCGGGGGAGCTTACCTTGACTTGACGAATATGGAGAAGCCGAGCTGATGAAACTAGACGCAACAGATCCAGCACGGTCTTTGACGCAACGATGTATGAACATGCATAGTAGAAGGGCAAAGGAGTATATTTGTTTTTCAACGGTAAAATAATACCTTTCAGCGGAAAAAGTAACAATATAGTTACTTTTCTGGTTGATAAGGAAAATCAGACCAAACAGCCCAATTCACATCTATATGACTGTATTTTTATATTTTAAGGCTTATCCGCCTATTTTAATGGCTCCAAAGGGCCCCTAAGTCTTCTTTGCTTGCTTTGTTTTTTACCTGGTTTTCTTTTTTCCCTCTTTTACTTACGCGTGCTTTAGGACTTCTCAATTCCAATAGCATGTTGAATTGCTTACCATTTCGATATAGCGTGCTTTGACCAAATGAAGATATGCCGCACTAGATAGTCACATATAGTCAAACCCTAGAGTTATAAATCCTTGGAAAATGGTATGAATAAACTATTAAGATTTGAAATTCTATCCAATCGACATAATTGGAGAAATAGTTCAAAAATCTGTATATGTTAGTTTGTTTTTTTATATGCATGCCCTCTCAAAATGGTGAGTCATTGGAGAATACCAATCATATAGTAGTTGTGTTTGTTGTTAAGGCCTACGGAGACCTAATTGCTTTTGCTTGTTGGAGTTTAATCGGCTCTGATACTATATACACATTTAGAGTTTCATTCCTAGGGACAATGATGTTTTTATTTGGACCATTTTAAGTCCCAAACTAGACTTATGCAGATCAGACCAGACTTTCGTAGTTATAAAATACATAATGATCAAATATTTATCAGACCAAACCAGACCAAATCAGTTCAGACCATAATAAAACAGACTTAAACGGACCAAGTAAACATATCCTAAAAGTCAACCAAAACGAGTAGCTTAAGATTTAATTTGTATTTTTATATATGCAATGGGCGAGTGATAGTTTAGTTGTTATAATTAATTGATTAGAGTATTTTGAGTTGTGCTATACGCAATGGGCAGTTGAATTTAATAAAGAGTGGTTAAAACACTGGCACTAATAATTTTGAAATCATGATCCACATACAATACTTTTCACATTAAAGTAAATATATTTTCATAAAAGATCAGCAATTTTCAAATGACATAATTGGATTCTTGTACTCGAATTTTCTAAATAAATATCACCTAGAAGATCGGTTCACACTTAGCAACGTATGTTACTACTTGACGTGTAGACTTATGTCTACCACTCGAGCACTACAATCGTTAGAAAAGAAAAAGAGAAAATTAGGTGAGAATTAACTATCGTCAAGTATTCCTTAAAGTTGAATACGTGATTAAGACCGAACAAACATGAGAGAAGGAAGTAAAAGGTGGTTATAAGATTCTTTGGATTTAAGGGTTGCCTCACGCAGCTCCTAGGGTAATCCACCCTCGTTTTTCCGAGGGGCGTGTGAGATTGGTTGGAGGGCGAGGTGAGTGGTTTGGACGTATTGGTGGATTGAGGCGGCGACAGGTCGGTTATTGGGGTAAGGACAGTGGTTAGTGTATTTAGACAACGGGTTTTGGCGAGCAGTGATCGAAGGCCGAACCCAAATTAAGCAGCAGCAGTGCGGTGGTATAGGAGCACATGGAAGCTTTTGTTGATTGCTACAAGCAGATGTCGATCGGTACAGATTCAGAGGAGCTTGATCTTGACGAACTCGATGCTGAGGAAGTTCCGACGAAGACAGGTCCTAAAGAGTTCTCGGTGATCGGCCAAGTACTAACTAATAGGAAGGTTAAATTTCCGAATTTTAAAGAGATGATGCTATCTTTGTGGAGATCGGGGAAAAAAGGTATTTGTTTACTTTTTTCATTGTTTTGATATGATGCGTGTTCTTGAGGGGGTCCATGGCATTTGAACGCAGTCTTGTGATGTTAAAAGAAGTTATGCCTGATGATATCACACACAAAATTATTTTAAATGAGTCAGAGTTTTGGGTTCAGATTCATAATGTTCCCTATAGTCTTGTTAACCTGGGTACTGCCAGACGTGTGGGAAATTTCATAGGGCAATTTGTTAAGTATGATGATTTTCAGAAGAGTGATAAATTAGAGCCATATATGCGGGTTAGGGTCCTTATGAAGATGGAGAAATCATTGAAGAAAGGGACAAATCCGAAAAAGGATGGCAAAAGTTTTTGGGTAGATTTTAAATATGAGAGTCTGCCAAACTTTAATTGGACATTCAGATAATTTTTGTCCCTTAAATTATGAAGAAGGCTTAGTTTTAGAAAAAAGATTTGAGATCCATCTCAGAGCAGGGAGTGAGGTGAAAACAAGTACTACAGGAGGTCAAAAATGGCTTCTGGAGGGTTCGTCGAGCTCTGGCAAATCGAGTGGATATATTGAGGCACAGAAATTAGAGGACAAGATAGATGAAAGGGGGAAAGATGTAACGATTGAATCAACCCAAAGCTTTACCAAAGGAGGTGGGAGGAGTCAAAATAAGAGGTTTCGAAGAGAAGGAAGATTGGGGAGATCCAAACAGAGCAGGAGCAAGAAGAGGATGTCATGGCCTTGGATGGGACAAAAAACGGGGAGGAGGCGGGCTTTGCTCCTTAAGCCCGCCGAAGCCGCTGATGGAAGATGGGAGGCCACAGATCCGAGGAACGATTCGTGTTTTCTGGCTGCATCAGAAGTTTATTAATTTTTGTTTTGTTTGTTGTTTCAGAGTTCCTTTTGGTGGTGATATCATGTATCGATTCATGTTAGCCGACCCCAATATCTTTTGGGACTAAGGCTTGGATGTTGTTGTTTGTTGTTGTTTCAGAGATTGTTATGTTTGCTTTGCTGTTTGTTTTTTCTGTTATGTTCCTGTTTGTAAGACGTCGATTTTGGATGTGGGGGATGAGATGAATATGATGACCGGTTATGGCTTTAAGTTTCCCACTTTTGGATTAGCGAATTTTATTGCTTCTTTGGAGGTGATTAATTCCGAGTCTGATTCACGGGATAACGGTTGTGAGATTTCTTTTTGTCATTTGACCCATACTCTAAATTATCTATTATCAATATAAGCAGAATTCTTCCAAAAAAATATTCTTTGGATTTATGCAGGCATAAGAATGGGTTCAGGTGGGGCGGGTAGTGCAAGACCTAGATCCGCCCCATTATTTTACTAGGTGGATTCACCCACATCGTGACCCACACGAGTTAACACTTGCTAGCCCATTACCCGCCCCACCCGGTCTATTGTAGTTAACCCAATTAACTATTATGCATTTTTATTTGTGTGAAGTTGTTACCGCTTAAATTTTACATAAAATTCATTTTTAAATAGTTATAAATAATTAATACTTAGTATATTAAATCAAAACCATAATATGAGGAAAATGTCAAAAATTAAGAAAAAAGTACCTACACATAAATAGTAAATCTATGTATATTCATAATTGAATATAAAATGCTAACTACTCCGTATAAAATAGATGTTGACAATTATACGTTCATCTTATACAAGTATAAATATTACTCGTAATATATTTTAAGCCAAAAGAAATTATGATTTATTATACACATGTGTATGTATATTTATATTTGTACTATAATTTAAAAAATTATATATGCTTGTACATTGAGCTAGTCAAGACGGGCGGGCGGGTTAGGGCAACACATGTCAAATTAATACCCCGACCCACCCGATTGCATGGGCTGGGCGGGACGTACCTGCTCCTTTTGCAAGATGGCATATAACTAGCGAATTAAAAAAACTTGCTTTAAAATTAAACCAATTCTGGGTCTTGTAAAGACCTACTACAATTAAGGGGTAATGTCAGGATGCAAATAGGTCAGATGCTCATTAAAAGTACATTATTGCTCATTTAGCGGAATCCGTCCGTTTTCACTTAAATTACAAAAATATTACCGATTTTTTTTTTGGCCTGAATCAATTACTGGGCCGTCTCCCTTATTGGGACGGGTATACGAACACCCGGATGTTCCATATAGGCACTAGGACCTATATCATACATCCGGGTGTATGTACACCCGACCCAACCAAGAAAAACAGCCCAATAACTAATACATGCCAAAAATAATTCGGTGGCATTTTTGTAATTTAACCGAAAAATTGCGGCTTCCGCTAAATGAGCAATAGTGTACTTTTAATGAGCATCAAACCTATTTTATTGAGTATTTAAGAGATTAACAATGAGTATCAGGATCCATGCTTCTTATCTTCTAATTCTTTTTTCTTTTTTCTTATTTTTTCTTTTATAAAAACTTATTAAATTATATCTATAATACTTTTTTCTTTTTTTCTTATCTATTAATTTCAATATGTGAGTCTAGTGTAATATGATACTTTTGAAATATGCATTGATATAACAATTCAAAAAAGAGCATAACATTAGTACCAGAATGAACATACATAACTTACAAAGTACACATTGATATTAAATTGTAAGGGTTTTTAGTTGAACATCACGACATTTTAATTGAACATCAAACCTCCACTATTGACATGAAAATCATGATTTCTGGTGAATGAGCATTAATGAACTTTTAATGAGCATCAAACATATTATGTTGAGTATTGGGAGTCTAATATTCAGAATCATGATCTCTGTTCCATAACTTCTAATTCACTTTCTTTTTGTTATTTTTTCTATTAACTATATTTATAATCAACTATATTTGTTATACAAACCTATTAAACTATATTTATAATCAACTCCTATGAATTTCAATATGTGAATCTAATGTAGAATAGTACTTTTAAAAATGCATTGATTTGCCATTTACAAAATGAGCACAAGATCAGTAGCAGATGGGCATACATAACTTGCAAGATGCGTATTAATATGAAATTGTAAGGTTTGTTAGTTGAACATCACGACATTTTCATTGAGTATCAAACCTCATCGATTGAGATCGATGGAAATCACGATTTCTGTTAAATGCGCATTAATGATTTTAAATGATCATCACACCTATACAAATGAGCATATGTAACTTACAAGATGAGCATTGATATGAAAATCGTAAGTTTTGTTCATTGAGCATCAAGACATTTTCAGTGAGCATCAAACCTCCGTTATTGAGAATTAGAATCGTGCGGTTGAGTATCATGATTTGTGGTCTCGTTTCTATAATCAACTTCTATGTGAATCTAATGTAATATGAGACTTTTGAAATATGAATTGATATAACTTTTAAAATGAGCATAACAAATGTACTAAATAGACATAAATAACTTACAAAATGAGTTTTCAAAAATCCAAAAGCTCATTTGTTACGTTCATTCTATTTAGTCGTTTTACTAATTTGAGTTTAAAATAAAATATAGATTTTATAATATTTTATATTATACATTTTCATAATAATAGAATATAACATTAAAGTAGAAGTTTACTAAAAACAAAAAAGATAGGAGAACAAATAATAAAAGAACAATAAAAGAAAAGAGAATAAAAAAATTAAAATGAAAGCACAAACATTAAAGTAGCTAGAAAGGAGAAAGTAGCTAGGCAAGGTCGGAGCAGAGCACGCATGCGAAGGAAAAAAAACGAATGGAGCTCAACTAAACCTATTAATTATCTTCAAACTTACTATTAATTAAAAAAAAAAAACGAATGTACATGTACACCCGGGTGTAGGAAATAAATTGTCCACTCCCCACCCTAGTTTCCTGCCATGTGGCATGACAACTTTTTAATATTTGGCAATTTTTTTTTTGGCTAAAGTGTCAAATAGACACATGTACCTTTCCGGATTGTTCAATTTTCCCCCCGAACTCAAAAGAGCTCCAATTGGCACCCTGAACTCCATAAAAAGATTCAAATTTTACTTTTTGCAGGTCACAACCCGGTCACCGCCACATCACCCGGTAGGATGCCAACTGTGCATGTGACATGGCAACTTAGGGGGTCAAATAAGCCCCTGAACCCTACTGAAATGATCAATTTACCCCCTCAACCCTTAAATTTTTTTTAACATTTTTTAGGGTTGAGGGGGTAAATTGAACGATTCGATCGGGTTCAGGGGCTTATTTGACCCCCTAAGTTGCCACGTCACATGCACAGTTGGCACCATACCGGTTGACGTGGCGGTGACCAGATTGAAACCTGCAAAAAGTGAAATTTGAATATTTTTATCGAGTTCAGGGTGCCAATTGGAGCTTTTTTGGGTTGAGGGGCAAATTGAGCATTCTGAAAGGGTACAAGGATCTATTTGACCCTTTAGCCTTTTTTTTTAATCCAAATTTTTCAAAAATAAAAATGTTTTTTATGCTCTTTCATATGATACCGATATTGTATATGTAAAATATAAAAAACATCCAGCTCAAACTAAGTATTTAATAAAATAGTTTTTTTTTTGTTTTTTTTATAGGCAAGATTGATGTCGTAGGAAAGATCACAAAAAACTAAAAAAACTAATGTATATTTTTTAAAAAATGTACCATAAATAAAAAAAGTTATAACAATTTTAAGAAAAATAAAATGAATAGATGTGCCACGTGGCAAGCATTGAAGTAAGGGGTGAACAAAAAAGGACTCCTATGATGCCAGTTATTTGACCATGCACCCTTTGTTATTTTTTATTTCTCTTTTTCTTAAAATTGTTAATAATTTTTTTATTTTTGATCCGATTTTTATAAAATTTATATCAATTTTTTTTATTTTTCATGATCTTTCAAATGAGACCAATATTGCTTATGTAATTTTAATTTTTTACATTCATACATTTTTTTGTAATATATTTTTATATGCATACACTTTTTCTATAATATATTTTTTATCACTTTTATATGTTTTTAGAGGTTTTTAAGATATTGAGTTTGTTTATTTTGCTTCTAGCTTGGAGTTACATTTGATAATATACGAAGTTACATCATCTTATACTCCAGTTACAAGTTATTATGTGTGAGTTACATTTTGTTATGTGTAAGTTACATCTTGCTATACACGAGTTACATACTTTTATGCGCGAGTTACATGTAATTATGTGTGAGTTACATCTTGTTATACACGAGTTACATACTTTTATGCGCGAGTTACATGTAATTATGTGTGAGTTATATCTAATTATTTGTGATTTTTTACTTATCTTTATCTTCAACTAATTCAATTATAACTGAAATAATTTTTTTCTTTGCCAATTTAATACAAAATTTTATTAATCCACATAAAATAAGTATATTGTATTTCATATTCATACACTATTTTTCAAATGATAAAAATGAAAGATGTAGCAGAGGTTTATTTCATGGTGTAACTCACATACCTTAAGATGTAACTCGCGTATATTAAGATGTAACTCGCGTACAATAAGAAGTAACTCGCGCAGAAGAAGATGTAACTTCATGATATATTATCAAATGTAACTTCAAAATAATTTGTTAAAATTACATAAGCAATACTGGTCTCATTTGATAGATCATGAAACATAAAAAATTGATATAAAATTTATAAAAATAGGATATCAAATAAAAAAGTTATTACAATTTTTAACAATAAAAAAAATAAAAAATAAAGGATGCTACGTCGTTTTGGGATCGGGCGCACCATCCTCATGGTGCGCCGATCCCAGAATATAAATTGCGTACAATATGATATACTTAGACCTGTATATCAGACCGGGGCGTTTTTCCTAAATTTCTTCCCATTGATGTGCATGGGCCCGATTTAGCCCACAGACCACAGTAAATGGTCCACCTCTATGTCCATATCGTGGGTAACAGTTGACTGGGTTGTCCACCAGGCTGTACAGTCTGGGAAAACCTTGAATGTTTTTTTCAGCGTCAGTTTGATCGAGAGATTTTAGAGGAGAGTGAACGTAAGGGGTTGTATACGAATTTAAAATATTTTTTACATTTTTTTGAGCGAAATCAGCTTATTATAGAATACTAGCAAACTCACGAGTAACTCTCAATTTGGAGAAAACAAACAAGCTAGCGAGAACAGAAAAATAGTTCGATTATATGTTCTTGGATTAGTCTTAGAATCAGTCACCTCAAAAGAAGCGGGCTGGTTCGCTAATCCCAACATGGGCAATTGTAAGCCAACTATGATCGACCAGGTTCCTTGCCACTTATCATTTCCTGACTCTGACACATAATCCCAAAGAAAACAAAAAACAAGTCATCCTCGACAAACAGACCCAACAAAAAAACCAACTACAATCCTTACCAACACAGTACACTAAAATGACAACAAAAATATATTATAAAAGCAGATGTTGGGCGATTCTAGAAGCCTAGACCCGCCTTCTCCATATTTTTTGTTCCTTTGACCACCATTGCACCTGCATCATGTCCCTCCTACTCATGGATATCCAACACTCATCTCCTCTTTGGCTCACCGGCCCGACTAGCAATTATTTCTACCCTCGAACTATTGGAAGCTTCCCCTTGCACCAGAACCATTGCCGAATCTTCCACCTAAACCCCCCACCAAGTCTTCCGTTGTCAAATGCACAAACCCCTCCCTCCAACCTGCCCCCCTCCCACCTTGTGTGCCTGTCTGAACCAACCATTTCTTTCTTCCTATTCCTGCACCTCTTACACTTTGTTGCTCGCTTCCATGGACCATAAGGTTTGACGAGCTCCCCCTAGCTCCCTTACTATATTCAAGGGGACATAATCCATATGCATGACCACTAAGACCACACACAAAGCAGAAATTTGGAAAGTTTCTCATATCTAAGATATACCCAAACACATTCCTTCTCATCCTTACCAAATTTTATTTTCTTACGCATATGTTTAATTATATCCAGACAAACTTTCAACCACATATATGATTTCCAAATATCCTCATACCATCGTTCCTCAACATTTATTAGTTTACCCATTGAGTTCCCAATTATTTAAGCAATTTTCAAAGTAAAATAATCCATATGTAAATTAAACACTTGAATCAAGAAATTTTAAGGAGATGTTTACACACCGTACAATTTTAGGGAGATGTTTACACACCGTGTATGGTGTACCATTTCAATAATAACCATACAGATAAAAAGCACTTTTAAAGGAGTTCTATTACATTTTTTACAAAGGTATTATACATTACTGAGTATAAAGTTACCTTGAATCCTTGATCGACCATTAATATCCTTGAACAGGTTGGTAGCATTCATTTAATTGTATTAGTTGGCATAATAGTAAATAAAATTAAATATATGATATAATTGGAATACAATTGTGCATGCCTAATTACAAGGGGTTATGCCCTTAATATTACTAAATTGAACTGGTTTTCAAAAAATGTGAGTCCTTTTAAAAATTAAAAAAAAAATGATTAACAAGGATCATATATTTGGAATAAGAAAACATAATGTAATTACAAAAAAATTATGTCACAGTGTTCGTTATTTCTTGTTACTTAGAATCGTCACCGTCAAATTTTTCACGCCAATTACACCGCCACTACCACCACCACCACCACCACAGTGACATCGTCATAGTGACGCCGCCACAGTGACACTGCCATAGTGATACCTCCGTAGTGACATCTCCACCGTCATCACCTGTGTCACTGCCGCCATTGACCGTTGTTGTTGTCCGACGGTGTCCACCACCACCCCTCACCCACCAGCCCCATCCGCACACCCCCAGCCTCCAACCACCTCAACACCCCCCCACCCCCACCCCCCTCAGCACCCTCCCCCAGCCACCAGTAGCCCCACCCCACCTCCAGTACCCTCCCCCTGCCACCAGTAGCCCCCAACACCCTCCAACACTCTCCCCCAACCCCTAACAACCCCCTTCCCCTTCCCAACCAGCCCCCTTCTCAGCCTCCCCCCAAATTCTCGATCCCCTGTCCCCAATTTCTTATCCTCCTCCCCAAGTTGACCTCAGATCGTGGACATAGATTTATCTCCAGCCACCAAATTCGTCATTGATACTTAGATTTGGGTCATATCGTTGGTGGATGGATGAAGCTCACAGGTGGAAGACGAAGCTCGCATGTGGAAGACGAAGCTCGACTCACCACTGTAATAGTCGGCGTCGATGGTAGTCGACGGCGGATGAGGATGTGAGGATGTGAGATCCGTTGGAGAATAAGCCTGGTGGGGAGAGATTCTACGCAGGGAGGAAAAGGTTGAGCTGCACAGGTGATACGCAGGGAAGAGTCCGGAGACGTAGGGGAACGTTGGAGAAAAGGAACCGTGCATCGCTCACTTTTTTGCCCAATCAATTTTTGATCACATTTATGTTTTTTAAAAGCCCAAGGGTTATATTCATGCCATTGTTTCTTACAATTCTAATTAAAGGAGTTATTGGATGGTTTTTCTTCGGGTGTTAACAATGGTATTTATATTGAGTTTTTCATTCTTTCCATGTATAGAAAATATCAATCCTAAAATGACAAACATGAGTGATGAGTTATTGATCGAGTTTGTTTCTTTTTTATCACCTTCTAATATACAAATTCCATTTTAGCTTAAAAAGCTATATACATACATATTATATATAAACATCGATATTATATTTATACATTTATAAAATATTGTGTGTATATCATTTAAGTAAGGTTTCATCCGTGCATCGCAAATGCTAGCTAGTAACTAAAGTGAACGCGTATTGTTCAAAAGATCAGATTAGATACTAAACGCTAAAACGCGTATTGTCCAATTAGCACAAGTGAACCATTTTGATCCAATTTATTCTTTGACAAGTAACTACAGGTCTTTCGAATCTGTTTGTATTTCAACAGGTTGGGGGCAAAAGGCTGCATTTGGCAGCGGTTCCTGTTGAAAAAAAATGACATTTTGGGGTAAAAAAAAGTTACCCAAACATCCGTTAGATCTCAAAGTAATATCGATTAAAAGACTTCCTCTAATTCTTTGTAATGTTATTAAAAAGTATTTGATTTTATTTTTAGAAGATTTTTAATTTATATTTTTAAAATATGAATACTTAGTTTGACCTTAAGTAACCTCGATCAATAGTTTACCTCTAACTCTAGTATGAGCTTCAAAAAGATTATAAAAGGACAAATTTAAATATTTCTATTAGATTTATGTAACTGAAAATATCTTTTTTTGTAAGTTGAGTAGTTTCGAAATTAGAGATGAACTAAAAAAAATAGTACATATTGCATAGATGAAAAACAAGAAAAATATTTTGCAGGGACTTAAAACAAAGTGTGTCATATTTGCAGGGACTAAAAACGTAGTTAAGCCTAAATCATATCAGAATAGAAAATGCCAGAATATACCAAATTTATAGTTAGCTCTCAGATTCATAGTTAGCTCTTTTAGGGGCAAGGTAGCCTTTATTAGGTACGATTGCTGTTTAGATTAGGATACATTTTTTAATTGGATTGACTTTTGTCCTAGATCCAACTAGACCAAACTTAAATAGATTAGATCAGAACAAATCATACTAGATCAGATCATATATACCAGACTTTGATAGTTATAAATAAACATAGATCACACATCTACCAAAAAGACTCATTCAGACCATAGCAGACCAGACCTAAATAGATAAGACCAAATTATATCAGTCTAATTTAAATCATCCTTATTTCATTAATAACAACTTGATTGCAGCAGAGCTAGTCATCAGTGGCGTAGCAGACAACCAACTAGGCAGGGCAGGTACAATTTTTTTTTTTGAAAACTTTTTAACACAAAATATTTTATCCTAATAATTAAGACATTTTAATGTAGGTTGGGCTGGGGCCTAGATTGGCCCACCTCTAACTACACCCACGCTATTGATTTGGTTAGCCCGTTACTGGTTGAGACAATTTAAGTTTTAAACATATTAATGTATATCTATATACTAATAAAAAGAATGTAATTGAAATGAAATAGAAATTCAGAGTCAAAAGAAGTAAAGAGAGTTGGTTTAATTAATGAAGTATTTAACTACCCCCATATATAATTAATGAAAAAGTAATTAATGAAGTAAAGAGAGTTTGTATAAACCTAGTTAATAGTTATGAATTATGAATAAACGTTTAAAAAAGGATCACACTCCATCCTTGAGGGTGTCCCAACATGATTAGGACATGAATACACATTATTAGAAGAAAGGGAGTAAAGACCATACATATAAATAAAATAATCTCAAAAACATAAAAAAATGTAGAATAAATTAAGAGACACAATTAGAGAACGAAATGTTCCTAAAGATATAGCAAGTGCAAAGTTCTACACCATATTCAAACGTTATTCTAACGTGATTAATAAAATAATATTCATAATAATCAACTACAAATTTGGAATATAAAAAAACTGACCCCACCTTCTGTTGCAAATAAATGAACCGATCGATCAAATAAATAAATAATTTAAAATTGAAGTGGCTGCGTATGGAACTTTAATTGTAGTAGTGGAACCGTTTTTTTTTTAAATAACATTGGTGAAACAATTAGTTGATTGTTGAGCTTGTCCAAATTTTTTAATAATTTTGCATGCATGACCCGCCTATAAAAGGGTGTTTGTTGTTTGTCCAGACACGTACTAACGAACATAATCTTGGTTTTGTGTCACCCATTGGGCATTGAGATTACGTGTTGTTCGTTTGTACGTTTCACAGAATGAGAATGGTGAAGTGAAGGGCTTAGAATGCATCTTTCATGAACGAGAAGTATGTGTTAATGTGACAATAGTTTCATGATGTTCAACTTTGTTTGTATTTCTGAGTCCCAAGTGATGCTTTCTTTAATGCAGGGGGAAATCATGCGACAATAAGGACTTTTCAAATGGCACAGTATAAAGATCGAACTTTTGGAGGGATCTATATATGCGATTCACAATTTTATTGTTGCAATCGACGGAAAGAGATACAAGACAACCAAAAACAGATATAAGCTTCTTTTTTTTCAAAAGACTCGGGTTTTTTAGTTCAAGGATGAAGAATTTTCAGATTTTACTTGTAACTTTAAGCGTTTGGAGTCATTGTTAACGACTAATATCTTGGATGAGAGCGAGCTTTTTGTTATGTTTTTTTCATGTTTATTTAGACACATTACAAATGAACACAAGTAGTGAGTGGACTAATTATTTTAATTGATATAGATGTGATTGGTGTTGTTGTTTCCAAGCAAGATGTCAAGCAAATGACGGTTAAAGGTCAACTTCACAGAATAATCGAATTTAAAATCCAGGACAATGAGTGAGTTACTTTTTACGCAGGTTGCATATAATTTTATTCTAAAAGGTGTGTAATATTGGTGATTTCAACTGGGGTGTTGTAATTAATTAAATGTAGGATGCACCAAATATCATGTACTTTATGGGATGCATATGTGGATCAAATACTCCCTTATTTGAAGATATTATGAAGGTTGGTGGCGTCCAATACAATACTTTTCGTGATACTTGCTATGCTCTTGGTCTGCTAAATGATGACAAGGAATATATTGATGCAATTAAAGAAGTGAGCTTTTGGGCAAGTGCACATCGTTTGCGCAAACTTTTTGTTGCTTTATTAATTGCTAATTGCTTGAGTAGATCAGAAGAGGTTTGGGAGAAGTATTGGACTTTTTTATCTGAAGATATTGTTTACAAGCAACGTTTAATGCTTAATCATTCAGGTACTTTGTTTTTCTTATTTTAGTGTTGAGAATAATTAATAATGTAAATTTTTTAATAGAGTGAATGTGTTCAATTTTGTAGATCTGACATTGACTGAAGATGAGGTGAAGAACTTTACTTTGTTTGAAATTCAAAAATTGTTGTGCAGTTGCGGAAGGAGTTTGGATGAATATAACACCATGTCGGTTCCAGATAATAGATTCTTATCAAATAACGGCAATCGATGGATGTACAATGAGCTAAGGTATGATCGTAAAAAGTTGGTTGAGGAGCATGCAAATTTGCTGGGTAATTTGACTAATGAACAAAGAGTTGTCTATGATACTATAATCAAGGCTATTGATGCTGATAGTGGTGGAATCTTCTTTGTGTATGGGTATGGAGGAACAGAGAAAACTTTTGTATGGAATACTCTTTCTGCAGCTATACGTTCAAAAGGGGAAATTGTATTGAATGTTGCATCAAGTGGTATCGCCTCACTTCTGCTGCCGGGTGGTAGAACTGCGCATTCTCGCTTCAAGATCCCGATTAATCCCAATAAAGATTCTACGTGCATCGTAAAACAAGGAAGCGCACTTGCCGAACTTCTTATCAAGTGTAAGCTTATAATATGGGATGAAGCACCAATGGTACACAAATATTGCTTTGAGGCTTTAGATCGGACACTCCGAGATATTTTGCGATTTAGCAATCCTTCAAGTTTACAAATGCCCTTTGGAGGAAAAATTGTGGTGTTTTGTGGCGATTTTAGGCAGATCCTTCCTATCATTCCGAAAGGAAGGAGACAGGATATAGTTGGTGCATCCATAAACTCTTCTTATTTGTGGCAGCATACAAATGTGATGCGTTTAACAAAGAACATGACGCTTCTTCATTTGCCAGGCAGTGATCAATCGGAATATTTGATTAAGTTTTCCGAATGGATTGCAAGCATTGGAGATGGTACAATTGGAGGGCCGAATGATGGTTTTGCAGAGATTGAGATTCCTGAGGAGTTCTAGATTACTGATTTTGAATATCCAATAGCTAAAATGGTTGAATCCATTTATCCTGATTTTGGAACCATTGATTATGATCCCAGTTATTTGCAAAAAAAAGCAATATTGGCACCAACCCTTGATGTTTATTCTATCAACGATTATATGCTCACTTTAAATGGTACTGAGTTGAAAACATACTTAAGTTCAGATAGGTCATGTCAGTCAGATGCAAATATTGATTTCTTGGCTCATATTCACACTCCAGAGTTTTTAAATGGAATTAAAACTTCTGGAGTTCCTAACCACCAATTGCATCTTAAAGTTGGGACACCAGTTATGCTAATGAGAAATATAGACCATTCCCAAGATTTGTGCAATGGAACTAGGAAGGTTATCACTAGATTGGGAAATCATATTTTGGAAGCAAAAGTTTTGACGAGAATAAGTGCAGGTCAAAAGGTCTTAATACCTAGAATGTCTTTGACACCGTCAGATGTGAGGTTGCCTTTCAAGTTCCAGAGGAGGCAATTTCCTATTATTGTCTCATATGCAATGACAATAAACAGGAGTCAGGGGTAATCTTTATCTAAAGTTGGATTATTTTTGCACAAACCAGTTTTTAGTCATTGTCAATTATATGTTGCTCTTTCGCGTGTTACTGATCCTCGTGGTTTGAAGATTCTTATATGTGACAAGGAAGGTAGAAGTACTAATGTAACAACGAATGTTGTATTTCATGAAATCTTTCAGAATTTGTAAAACACTTATAATTTTTATGTTTTAATGTACTTAATTTATTTGTTTCCCAATTTCTTAATCCCTTTTGATATAAACTAGGGTTCTTTTATTTATATGTTTTGTGATTTATATTATTAATTCCCGATGAATTATTATGTGTTATATACGTCAAATTTAATTAATTTCATATATAAGAAATTTTTCCCGTGCATCACACAGGTCATATACTAGTAGTTATGAATTATGAATAAACGTTTAAAAAAGGATCACATTCCATCCTTTAGGGCGTCCCAACACGGTTAGGACATGAATACACATGATTAGAAGAAAGGGAGTAAAGACCATACATATAAATAAAATAATCTCAAAAACATAAAAAATGTAGAATAAATTAAGAGACACAATTAGAGAACGAAATGTTCCTAAAGATATAGCAAGTGCAAAGTTCTACACCATATTCAAACGTGATTAATAAAACAATAATCATAATAATCAACTACAAATTAAATCAAATGCATTCATTTAATTTTACTTCTTATATCCACACACATGTAAACATGATTGTACTAAATTTAATTTAAGACTTCTTCAATTGAAATTAGTTGAATGAGAGATATAATGGTACTACCTCCAATTGTGTGGTTGTTATTTATTTGATATAGTGTGAATAAAATAAGAATAAATCATCACCATCCATATATTATCAAATATAGTATGTGACAAACTTAATTAGAGACATGTAAAATGTAAAATGAAACAAATATACACGAAGAAAGAAAGTAATAAACAATAATTTTTATAACAACATATCTTTAAGAAGTGTTTAAAAGATGGAAAAGGCCGAAGTTATGTTTTCTTATAACAACTTGTATGTTAAATTTTGATAGAGTAATTGTTGATAACAATTTTTAATGTACATAAATAAGGATGTTTATAATTGAACTGAAATTTCAGATCTAGTTTGATATGTTCCGAATATGTTTGATCTAGTTTGATAGACGTCTGATCTAGCAGATATCTAATCTGTATTTTATAATTGTTGAAGTCTGATCTAATCTTATATGATTTGATCTGTTTATGTCTAGTTTGGGCCATGATATCAGTGATAGGCGCCTTTTGATATGTTCTGATTGGTTTGGGCAATGATGTTACTATACTCCGCATTTTTTTATGCATTTGTAATTTTCTAGAAATAAAACCATACTGGTCGTATCTGTGAATTTTTCTTTGCAATTTAGTCAAAAGGCTGTAATAGAATCATAATGAGGAATCCCTCTGTAGCCGGCATTGGAATATATATTCACACACAGGTCGTATTATTCATGTTCTTGCCAACTGAAGACGCCGACCGAGTGCGCGGCCACTGTCCCAGAAATTAAACAACAATCGACTCCATTAATCCTTCATTTCTCGATCTCCTTCACCAATTCAATAAAAACATCAATGGCGATCGTTTCTTGCAAACTCCTCCCACCCTTACTATTACCCCTGCTTCTTCTGGCAGCACTTTCAGAGGAGGCAGCAATAAAGACGTCGTCTGTATTCGATGTCCAGTCTTCCATTCAGAAAACGCTCAACGTTTTCTCTCCCGATTCTCAGAAGGTTGCAGAGGAATCCCATGGAGATGATGATCCTCAGAGACACCCCTCATCTTCATCTTTTTCAGCATTATACTCCTTTCCATTGCATTCTCGGTTGGCATTCAAGCGGCCCAGGGAGAGTGATTACGAGTCGCTCATGAAAGCTCGACTCAAGCGGGACTCGGCCCGAGTTCAATCGCTGCAGGCGCGTCTAGATCTGGCGGTCAACGGGGGGGAAATGGCGGAGATACAGGAGGACGAGGCGGCGGCAGTGACAATCTCGTTTGATCCGACTACGCACGAGTACTTAGCCAAACTTCAAATCGGTAGTCCGCCGCAGGATGTTTTAATGGCGGTGGACACGGGGAGTGAACTTAGCTGGATGCAATGCCACCAAGGCTCGGTTTTCGACCCGAGCAGTTCTACCACTTACGTCCCTGTCCAATGCAATGCCCCACTGTGTAAATCCTTGGAGAAACAAAACTGCGACGGAGGCACGTGTGGCTACCAGTTGACGTACGGAGATGGATCGGGAACCTCCGGCAAACTGGCGACGGAAACGGTACACTACGGCGGAAATCAGCAGTTGCAAAACATGACCCTTGGCTGCGGAGGCGACACCGAAGGTCCGTTTGCCAGATCCAGCGGAGTGATGGGCCTCGGCCGGGGCGCTTTGTCATTTACTTCCCAAATAAATGCCTCTTCCTTGTCTTACTGTCTAGTTGACCCGGATTCTACATCCGGGTCGACTCTCGAGTTCAATATCCGGATCCCAGACAAATCTATCCGTGCTCCACTACTCCCTAACCCGACACCGAACACCGGTTACTTTTATGCCAACTTGACTGGGATTAGCGTCGGCAACAAGAATGTGATCGCGGTGAGCGGCGGGGCTGTTGTCGACACCGGAACCGTACTGACCAGGTTTCAAAGGGATGTGTACATCTCCCTCCAGAATGACTTCATAGTCTCGATGATGCAGAACGGGATGGGGGACAGGAAAGTAGGCGGCTCACCGCCATTCGACACGTGTTACAATATGATGGATTTGTCGAAAGCAAATGTCTCAACGGTGTTCTTCCACTTTTCAAATGGGAATAGGCTACCGTTGCCACCAGAGAATTTTCTGGTGGCAGTCGACTCGCAAGGGACGCATTGCTTCGCCTTTGCTATCTCACCCGGTTCAATGTCAATCATCGGGAATGTGCAGCAACGCGGGATGCGCGTCACTTACGACCTTGACAGCTCCCAAATTTGTTTCACTGCTGATAATTGTTAGCTTAGCTAGAGCCACACTATCAATTTGTTTCCCATAGCTGTAGTTGTGCTTACGTTAAAGCGCATTTTCATGAGAACCCGGACATTTATCCAACCCCATCAGTGTTCTTGAAGAGGCACACCCATACACATACTTTTTTGAAAATGATGTTTAATGTAAGAAATGCATAACCTTCACTTTTGGGTCCAAGCTAAGCTACTGAGTAGAAATGCATAACCTTCACTTGATGTTTTGGTACTGAGTAGAAGTTTATTTTTATTTTGAATTTCTCACTCTTGTTCTTCTTATTTTTACTTTGTTAGCACTTTAGAGCATTAAGTATCAAATTCAATACATCTCATTGACTCATACATTCTGATTTCCTACATTAGGATATCTTCTCGTTCGAATTTCATGAAATCACCCCCTAGTTCCCCAGCACAATGAGAGCAATCCCGAGGTGGCAGCAGTCCGGCGCGCGGTGGGGTTACGGTGCTCCGATGGTGGCGAGGTTCAGGCACCCGACGAGGGTCTGGCACTCTAGCAGTCGGCAGTCCGGTTGGCAAGGTCGAACACCTACAACGATATTTTTTCCTAATCACTTCTGGTAAATGCTAGCCAATTAAGCCACACTAACAATTTGTTTCCTGCACCAGCTAGCCTCTCCGGTCTCTTCCCATAACTGTAATTGCTCTTACATTATCGTGTCGTGAAACAAATTTTAAGTATTTACTTAAAATTGATAGCAAATAATAATATATGAGAATATTGAGTACAATATCTAAATATGAATCATCTGATTCTTCATTTGCAATTTGAGATAAATATAATTAAAGAATTTAATTTAAAATTAAATCTTTAATCCTTCAAAAATTTGAACGTTCTTCGGATCTTTGAATCTTCGCTCTCGAGATCTTCGAATCTTCAAATCTTCGTACTTTGGATCTTCAAATCTTCTTGAATGCAGAATTCAGCTTGAACGGTCTCCGCTTTTCAAGTAGCTTGATATTCAACAAAAGGATCGTTTTATGGCTTGATCTTCTGTTTTACAGATTCCCGGAATATATATGGCTTGATCTTCAATTGAATTTTGATTCAACCTTTATATGAATACTTTCAAATCTTAAAAGATTCATTCTTCATATCTCCGAATCTTCAAAGTATTGTTTTGAAGATTCTTGGGAGGCAACCCAAGTTTGTATTTTGTTTATTTTCATCTATTTCTGTGTGTGTGAAAACCTTTTCAAAAAAAAAAAAACGGTGAACCTGGTCGGGTTCAAAATCAACACGGTCGGATTGCATCATAATAACCAACACCCGGCACACACCCGGGCGAGCCAAGCAAATTTTTCAGTTAAAATGATTTTCACCCGACCGGGTTTGTTATTTTACCCGGTCGGGCGAATCTAATAAAAGCACCTGGAATCCAAAACTGATCGGGCGATAAAAGCTTTGCAAAACCCGGCCCCTGGAACACATCACCCGACCGGGTCTACTAAATCACCCGGCCGGGCGTATTGACGAAAAACCTCTCTGGATAGTGAACAGTTAGGCCCGATCGGGTCTCTTGCTCTACCCGGCCGGGCGATCGGACAAAATCAGTGATAAGGGTCGGGCAAAACCACCTTTCTTCCCCATTTCATCTTCTACCTTCGAAAAAACCTCCCCCATTTCCACCATTTTCGCACCTCAAACCTTCAATTCCCCCCTATTTCTTAACCAAATCCATCACTTAAACACATTTCCTTCTCCTCCTCAACACCCTCTTCCATTTTCTACCCAAAAATCTCACCCCAAATCCATCCCTAAAAGAAATCCGAATTCCCTGACTCCACCTACACCAAGTCGGAATTTTTGCTCAGCCAAAAATAAATGACACCAAAAAGCGCAAATGGGTTCATTCTATTGGACATCTCGGACACAAGCACTAGGGACAGTGTTTTGGTTAGCTTGGGGGGGGGGAGTTTTATGGAATACTCACATTCATACACTTTATTCTTGTTTTTTTTAAAAATATTATCAATAAAAGCTTGTTAAGTTGAAAACTCGAAAGGGCAACTTAAGCAAAATTAAAGCAAAAATAAGAGTGAGTTGTGAGGATAAAAATAGAAAAATGTGGGAAGCTGGGATGAAAACCCGAAAGGGCACCTAGGCAAAATGAGAGAATGAGAGAAAATATTTTCTTTTCTTTCTGCAGGATCCTAAGGGTAACGAAAAAAAAAAGTTGAGGTTGATAAGAAATATGGAGTTGAAGACCCCTCTTTAATGTTATATATTTGGGGATATACTTTGTGTGTTTAAAAAAACACTCTTGGATTTTTGTTGATACTCTTGTCATTTTAAGGACTTCTTGGACTGGATTTGATTTACTCGAGACGAGTAAAGGATTAAGTGTGGGGGTATTTGATGCACACTAATTAGTAGTGCATAATTATATGTTTTTATGTTTGATTTATGTTGATTGTTTGACGTTTTATTTAGTTTGTAAACATTTATATGATTTCAGTTGTAATTGTATTTTAGTCTTTATTTATAAGTTGTAAAGTATAGTTAGGATTTGTGGTGTTGGAAAGGAAGACTTTGAAGAGAAGAAAACAAGAAATTTGACTGCCCAGAAGTAAAACCCGACCGGGTAGAAACCCCCACCCGGTCGGGTATGATTTAAAAGATGAAATTGCCAAGAAAATCATTGGATCCGGTCAAGTCCCCTACTTGACCTGGTCGGGTCAGATGTGACCCGGGACAAAACGACGTGCGAAGATCACCAGAACGTGGCGGATTATCTGATTTTGACCTGATCCGGTCGTGTAAGTACTTGACCCGGTCGGGTACCCGACCAAAGGTGTTGAAAAACACCTATAAATAGCACACTTTTTCTTCTCTAAAAATCATCCCTTCTTCCATACTCTTAAGCTCGGTTTAGAATAGCATTTCTTTATATTTTTCTAGCTATGTTTAGTCTCCAAATGAGGAGCTAAATTTCCATTCTTGGTGTTGCTCTTGAAGCTTGTTGATTATTAAAGTTGTGAGTTATTTTCTTAACTTCTTTCCTTGAATATTAATTATTAGTTATTTCCTAACTACTATCTCTATATTAATGTTGAGGAGTGTTGCTAAGATGACAATTAGTTAACATCTCGACATTAGTTAGAATAGCATTTTCTTCCTCTATATTAATGTTGGGGAGTGTTGCTAAGATGACAATTAGTTAACATCTTGATATTAAATATAGTAGGATTCATCTCCTTTAATAATATTCTTCTCTGAATATTAATTAATTCCTATTTATATTTCATATTAATATTTTGAACATCACTTAAAGGATCAACTAGTTTTGTTTCATATATTAATTATTACTAGAAACGATCGACGAACCGATGGTTAATCGTTGATGGTTTCACAAGTAAGTAAGTTCGGTTTATTAATGCACGGTCATGGTTGATAAACTTAAGAGGGATTAATTTTTTGATTAAACCGAAACCGTTGTGTTAAGGTTATCAATCTCAATTGATTTCATCAAGGAGTTAAAAGATTAAAAGCTACTATCAGGTCGGTATATGACGGTGTTCTATACTTGACTAATAGTTGTTGGGTGTGTTTCGGAAAATAAAGAAAATTAATTAAAATAAATTAATTAAATAAAATGACTAGAGAAAAACAAGAAAGGAGATGAAGCAGAATTAGCCAAAGCTCGTGCTACGCACGATTTCCTTAAAACGTATTTGTTGCCTCCCACGGTGCTAGGAGCGTTGCAACAATCGTTTCCCAGGATACGATGACTACGAACTAATGTTTGAGCACACAAACAAGAGTTCCAGCGAACGAGAACCAAGTATGAACACAGAAGGATTTTGGGAGTAGCTGGAAGAGTTTTTAGCTCAAGAAAACGTGAGGAAAGTGTTGTGCGTTGTCAAACCGTGTGTTTGTTGCAAAGCACCTGCCAGCTATTTATAGGAGGATTTGTTGTGTGTTAAATGAGGTGTTAATTGACCTGAACGTTGGACATCAATGACCAGTCCGTTGGGCATTGAATCGTCCATAAACTGTCCATTTAACGCAGCATTAAAAGATAAGAACGTTGGGCATTAATTGTTGTAACGGAAGAAATGCGCGGCAGAAGACCCCAACAGAACACCCCTTGGAGGGGTTTTGTCCGAAGCCAACAGAACACCCCTTGGAGGGGTTCTGTCCGAAGCCAACAGAACTCCCCTCGGAGGGTTTCTGTCCGAAGCCAACAGAACTCCTCTCGGAGGGTTTCTGTCCGAAGCCAACAGAACTCCTCTCAACAGAACCGTATCTCTTGAGAGATAGATTTTTGGACGGCATTCGTGTCCGCAGGTCGCCCGCGCACACGAGTCGCGGTTTTTCTTCTCCGTTTCGGGATTTTATCGGCACCCCCCTGCGCGTAAGAGAGAGCCTTTCCGTTTAGGAATCTTAACTCCTTAAAAGAGGCTTCCCTTTATAAGGGGGTGAAAATCCCTTGAGTTTTTCGGTGTGGGATAAAACACACTAGAAACTCATCATTTTTCCCAGTTTTTCCATTTCAACGAGTGAACTTCGAGAATCAATTTCTCATTCACCCGTTATCCGTTTTGAGTGTACCACATATCGAATTGTAGCCCTTAACAAGGACAATCCGAAACCACTTTGACCCGACCCAAATCGGAAGTGGACTCCACTCAAATAATTGCCCCAAAATGACCATTTAATGCAATGTTTTAACACATTTTTCCAACAATCCCCCACATGAATGAAAATTGATTTTCGGGACTTAAAAGACACGAAGATAGGAGGACACGTTGTGTTCACCGGATGATCCTTGCATACGGAGAGGTAGGTTTTATCCTTTGAACCTTCCGTTGTAAAGACACGTTTATTTACTGGCTGTCTAGTAGACTCGATGTCCTTGAACTATACTGCCGTCGTGTAAACATTGACTTATCTTTACACAAGAACCTTCCAACTTTGTTCCGTTCTCATGGATGTGCCCGTTTTGGCCATGGGTCACCGTCCTGGTTCTGCAAGAGTTTCTAAAGAACTGAGTCTTTACAGTTCTCCTTTGAAGCGGCCCTCTTCTCTCTCACATAGGTGATTCTTTCACGAGTATCCCGCATACTCTTCCAATGTTATCGAGTAGATCAACATTTTAGAATCATTAAAGCAAACGTTTTTGCTAACCTCGTGCGGGAGTCACTGTTTTAACGAGGTGTGGGTAGGAGTCCGGGACCCCCACAATGACCATCCTTCGCTCTATAATTTAGTTGTCCCTTTTGAACCTAGGACCAA